TACACTGTGTAGTGTACAGTGGCTGAATATCAAGACTTTGAGCAGCAGGGCATAGCATACTAAGGACTTGGTTTAAAATTCAGCATAAAATTCACAAGTAACCTAGGGTGCCTGGGTGGCTCAGTTGGTTAAGCGACTGCCTTCAGCTCATGTCATGATCCCAGAGTCCTGGGATCGAGTCCCACATCGGGCTCCCTGCTCCTTGGAGAGTCTGCTTCTCCCTCTGACTTTCTCCCCTCTCATGCTCTCTCTCAAATAAATAAATAAAATCTTAAAAAAAAAAAATTCACAAGTAACCTGATTAAATCTGCCATTTAAAAAAAATATTTTATTTATTTATTTGACACAGATAGATTTATTTATTTATTTGACAAGTAGGCAGAGAGGCAGGCAGAAAAGAGGGAGAAGCAGACTTCCTGCTGAGCAGAGAGCCTGATCTGGGACTTGATCCCAGGACCCTGAGACCATGGCCTGAGCTGAAGGCAGAGGCTTAACCCTCTGAGCCACCCAGGCGCCCCTAAATCTGCATTTTAAAATAATCAATAATAGCGGAATAGAGGGTAATCTAAAGTGGGGTAAGATTTAAGGCAGGTATCAGTTAATAAGCTATGGCAGCAGGCAAGCAACAGACAAAAGGGCCTTTATATAGCAGAATCAACAAAAGTAGGTATCTTTAAAAAAACAAAACAAAACTTTTTTTTGACAGAGAGAGATAAGAAAGAGAGCACACAAGCAGAGGGAAGAGCAGAGGGAGAGGGAGAGGGAGAAGCAGAATCCTTGCTGAACAGGGAGCCCGACATGTGGCTCAATCCCAAGATCCCAGGATCATAATGGGAGATGGACACCCAACCAAATGAACCACCCAGGCGCCCCTTATGAAGACATATTTTGGCACTGGAATATGTAATATTTAATTCCTCATGTACAAATTTGGATTCTACCTAAGACTGAGCCTCTTAAATGTAGGGATTAGAGAATTAATACATATCTGAACAATTATCAAACTGAACAGATTTGACATACTTGCTCAATCATATCTGTGGCTTATCAGGTCTTTTTACAGAGTATAGTTTGCATAAGAAATCCTGAGATTCTTATTAAAAATGTAGATTTTCAGGGCGCCTGGTTGGCTCAGTGGGTTAAGCCTCTGCCTTCAGCTCAGGTCATGGTCTCAGGGTCCTGGGATCGAGGCCCGCACCGGGCTCTCTGCTCAGCAGGGAGCTTGCTTCCTCCTCTTTCTCTGCCTGCCTCTCTGCCTACTTGTGATCTCTCTCTCTCTGTCAAATAAATAAATAAAATCTTTAAAAAAATAAGAAAAATAAAAAAATAAAATAAAAATGTAGATTTTCAGGGTACTAACCTAGCCTTACTGAATCATTATCCAGAAGCAGTGCCCCAGGAACCCATTATTTTATATAAGTTCTAGGTAACTATTATGCACATTAAAGTTTAAAATCATTAAGCAATTCTCGGGGCACCTGGGTGGCTCAGTGGGTTAAAGCCTCTGCCTTTGGCTCAGGTCATGATCTTAGCGTCCTGGGATCGAGCCCCACATTGGGCTCTCTGCTCAGCAGGGAGCCTGCTTCCTCCTCCCTCTCTGCCTGCCTCTCTGCCTACTTGTGATCTCTGTCTGTCAAATAAATAAATAAAATCTTTTAAAAAAACAAAAACAAAAAAAAATTCATTAAGCAATTCTCTAATCCTAGGAGATCTTCCTGGGGACATCTGCCATTCTAAAAACGTCTGTCCTTTCTTACCTTTGTTTGGATATCAGGTACTATATTTTCTACCAGAGATAGGATGGAGGAAAAACACATTCCTAATCTCAACAGTAAGTAAGCTGTATGAGTTTCAAAAATACCTGTCTTAGGAAAAACTTCTGTCACCAATTTCCCCCCCACTGCCAAAGCTTCCAATGGCATGATAAACGTTAGATTTGCAAAATAAGCACTGAACTCAAACCACACAAGGTACACTGTCCAGAGTTAGGAACTTTAGGAACTGGACAGTGGTTATTTTGTAGATTTGATTTAGATTTCATTTAGGAAAATTTGAGTTTTTCCATATACCTAATATATCAAGTGATATCAAAGGGAATGGTTTTGTTTGTTGTTGTTGTTGTTTTCCCTTAATGCTGGGGTGATTTATAGTGCAACTAAAAGAAAAAAATTTTCTTCCATTTCTAGTCACTTAAATAATTTTTAAAATGATACCCTATTTGTTTAGTTTTTAAGCTCCTTTATAAAAACAAACTCAAAAAAAATTTTTTTTAATTAAAAAACAAACAAAAAAACACAGGGGTGCCTGGGTGGCTCAGTGGGTTAAAGCCTCTGCCTTCGGCTCAGGTGATGATCTCAGGGTCCTGGGATCAAGCCCCGCATCGCATCGGGCTCTCTGCTCAGCAGGGAGCCTGCTTCCCCCTCTCTCTCTGCCTGCCTCTCTGTGTACTTGTGATCTCTCTCTCTCTCTCTGTGTCAAATAAATAAATGAAATCTTTAAAAAAAACCCAAAAAACAAAAAAACAAAAAAAAACCCCCACAAATTCAAGGAATAGCCAACCCATAATAAGTAATGTGGTGTATTTCTTAGCTAATATTTAAAATTAGTAATTTTCCCACATGATAGAAATATATTCCATAAGATTAATCACTGACAAAGGGGAAGATTTTAACCTATTATTTAAATGTACTTATTAACATAAGATTTAAATTCTTTTCTTGGTTTCATTCTCTCAATTGATAGGGGGAAGAGGCCATGTGTCCAGAATTTTTGTCTTTTTTTTGGGGGGGGGGGTAAGGTTTTATTTACTTATTTGAGAGAGAAAGAAAGCATGAGCAAGGGGAGGGGCAGAGAGAGGGAGAAGCAGACTCTCTGCTGAGCAGGGAGCCTGATGTGAGACTCAACCCCAGGACCTTGGCTTCATGACTTGAGCTGAAGACAGATGCTTAACCAACTGAAGCATCTAGGTGCCCTCAGGATTTCTTTCTTAACAAAATTACATAAGATGGCAAAGCGAAGCTCTATAAATATTGAAATAAAATTCTAATATACTATCGTACTCTCTATAAAGTAGAAAGTAATGGTTTTTGTGAGTTAAGAAAGAAGCTACAAAAAAAAATTAAAAGGCAGCTCTATTCCAAAAATTGAAAACAGTAATTTTGATCATATTAATATTTAAAAGATAATAAAATCAAGTCCCAACAGAATCAGGAACTTCACCAAAAATCACATGTTCAGACATATCATCTAAATAAAGAAAAATAATAAAATAGCAAATAGGTTTTGAATTCAGGGTAGGGCTAATTTAAAAGAATTCCCTCTTCATTATCACTGGCTTGCTGTTATCTATTTGTATGGATCAGGGCTTTTAGAAAAAATTATGTGCCTACTGCTAAAAAAGTTTTAAAATCAGATTGTGGTAATGGTTGCACAATGCTTTACATCTACTAAAAAAATCTCCTGAGTTGTATATTTAAAACAAGTGAATTTTGTGGTATGGAAATTATGCTTCAATAAAGCTGTTAAAAAAATTATATGTGTTTATAAAATATAGCAAATGAATGCCAAATCTCATTTTCTCAACATCCCAAGAGTTATCTTAACTTAGAAGCAATTAAATGTCATGAAGATACTAGGTATCACTAGTGACCACTGTATGCTGATGATCTGAGACTTCCGAACCTGTGAGACTACTCAGAGTCAGATGTAGGGGGCCATAGTTTAGACATTAATCCAGACTGAAAAACATCTCAGAAGGCCATAATTTGACATATAATATGCAACTAGTTCATTCATATCCATATCAAAATGTCATTATTAGATGAAAGCTAGATGAAGTTACCCACTGCTTTGTCCTTGAACAGTGATAATAATTGTGCTAACACTTCTGTTACTCAAGTTTTTTAACTATCTGTGGTTCCTATGAGTTCATGAGTTCATTTACTTATCATTTTCTAAATTCCACAGACATTGTAGGTCCTGGGAATATATAATTTTGATGGGAGAAATATTTCCAACATAATGTGGTAAGTTCCAGGACAATGGTTTCACAAGGGTCAGAGGTCCGAGAAAACAAAGAAAAGTACCATTTATTAATGGTAAATAAAATAGCCTACAGGTATGGTATGGTAGAGAATGTCAACAAAAATTTCTTTGAAGAACTAACATCTAAACTGAAACTTGAAAGGATGAGTAAGTATCAGTCAGGAAAGGAGAAAGTGAGTATTCTAAGCAAAGAGAACAACAGCATGAACAAAGATTTAGAGGCATGAAACCATATACTACAGGGAGGGAATCAGTGACAGTACGAAGTTACTTACATTATTTCAAGGCAACGAGATATGGGAAAGAAAGTGAAAACAATATAAAGAATTTTTCATAAAAGTCAACTTACTCGGGTTAAACGATTTTATTTTAACCTTCTACTGATCACTTAGAAATGAAAAAACTACTTATTGGTTTGAAAATCCTATAAATCTGGGACCACTACTCTAACTTATAGAAAACCGTTTGATAATGTGAGGTGCCCCCCCATTTTCCAGCTCCCCCAAAACATTCCTTTATAAACACTGTTAGAACAATAGCAGGTTACTAAGGATGAAGTAACCAGAATATACTTTCACAACTACAATCAAAATATCACTCCCGACAGCAAATACTTGCTTTCTTTTATCATTAAACCCTTAAAAATAGAAAAGAAATTTTTTTTTAATTTACCTTAAAACAATCCAGTAGGGATATAGTGAGGGTAGGGTAAGTTTACAACCTTGCAATCATAATGAAAATAGTTGTCCTGTGCACAATCTTAAATTTGTCAACCCTTTTCTCCTTTTCCAAAATCTATGCCACATTTGTATTTTTTCACTGGGTAATATGTTGCTAGTTCATGAGACCTGCTGTTCCCAACTAGAAGAAAATCTTATAGCAGGGATACTCACACAATTATTTCATAATAGTTTTTCAATTTGATAACCTCAACCCAATACTCCAAGATCACTTACCTGTTTAACATTGTAACCTGCTTTTGCACTTGTTTCAATAAACATAACATTCAGCTCTTTGGCTTTCCTTTCTCCTTCCTCAATTGATACTTGCCTGTAAAAAAAATTTTAAAGATAAATTCTTCTTTTTGCAAAACTGATATTATAAAGATGATAAACAAGATTCTGAAAAGAACTTTTCTTGACGGGGTGCTAGTTAACAGGTGAGACTAGTTTGAAGATTCATTAAGCTGCAGTACACTTAAAATTTGTGCACTTCAGTGTATATGTTATACGTAACTAAACAATTTTTTAAAAAGGAATTTTTTTAGTGATTTGCTTTTACTTGGCAGGGCTCATCCTATAATTTTTTTTTTTTAAGATTTTATTTATTTATTTGAGAGAGGGAGAGAGAGCATGAGAAGGGAGAAGCAGACTCCCCAAGGAGCTGGGAGCCTGATGTGGGACTCAATCCCAGAACTCCAGGATCATGACCTGAGCTGAAGGCAGTGGCTTAACCAACTGAGCCACCCAGGCATCCCAATTTTTTTTGTTTTTAAAAACTTAATATCTGGCTATTTTATGTTCATATTAGATCATAATAATTTAGCCTTATGATTAAAAACTTCAGGTAAAAAAGTTTTTCATGACCAATTTGTCAATCTGCTACTATAATTTACATAACCACTCCCAAATTGTTAAAAATGTTTTTTCCAAATTTTATACTACTGTGAAAATGCTACTATAAACTTCTTGACATAATATTTTGTGCACTGTGGGTCATTTCTTCAGGATGGATTTTGTGGATTTCTCTAAGTGGAATAAGTGAGTCAAAAGACATGTATGTTAAAGTCTCTTGATACATTTTATAGGGCTTTTGGTAATGCATGATAATTAGCAGTGTCTCTCAAACTGTAATACACTCTTCAAGTGAAACATTATGTCACTTATCTTGGTATTCCTAGTGCCTAGTGGGCACACACGTTTTGTTTTTGTTTTTGTTTTTTTTTAAGATTTCATTTGTTTATTTCACAGAGATCACAAGTAGGCAGAGAGGCAGGCAGAGAGAGAGAGAGAGGGAAGCAGGCTCCCTGCTGAGCAGAGAGCCCGATGTGGGACTCCATCCCAAGATCCTGGGATCATGACCTGAGCCGAAGGCAGAGGCTTAACCCACTGAGCCACCCAGGTGCCCCCACACAGGTGTTTAATAAATATGCAAATATTCTAATTAAATGGATCTAAAATATCAGCTGACAAACCCTGCTTCCTACAATACAGAAAACCAAAGCAATACAAGAGAATTTCCACAAGCTCTCACCAAATCTATCCACTGATCTACATGTGTGTATCCTTATATTCTACCTCTAGTCCTGCTACTATGGAGGAAACTGTCCTTATTCCCCAGACTTAAGCCTCTGCACTAGATTCAACTATCTTCTTATTTATAAGAAGATACTACTCTAAAAATTCTCCACTCTCTGGAAAAGTCAGGAAAGAAGAAAATGAATATTCTAAGCAAAGAGAACATCACAGATATTCTCTTATACAATCCAAGTGTTAATGTTTTGCTACATCTGCTTGTTTTATCCTCATTCTCTATGTATTTACACGTGTATATACATTTTAAAAAACACACATTTAAAAATAAGTTGACAATCTGCAGATCTTTAGCCCTAAATATACCTACAGAATTAATTAATTGGTTAATTAATTAATTTAAGATTTTATCTATTTACCTGACAGCGAGAGACCATGAGAGAAGGAACACAAGCAGGGGGAGTGGGAGAGGGAAAAGCAGGCTTCCTACAGAGCAGGGAGCCAGACACTGGGCTTGATCCCAGGAACCTGCCCTAAAATTTACTCCTTGGACCTTGTCTCTATTTACAATCTCTCCTTTGGTGATCTCATACAGTCTTGTGGCTTTAAATACCATCTACATGCTGATTACTTCCAAACTTACATATCTAGTCTGGACGGCTACTCTGAACTCCAGACTCCAATATCCAATTGCCTACCTGACACCTAATTAGATGTTAGGATATCTAATACCAAGTCTAAATGAATGAATGAATGAATGAATTTATGGGGGATCTTGGGATGGAGTCCCACATCGGGCTCTCTGCTCAGCGGGGAGCCTGCTTCCCTCCCTCTCTCTCTCTCTACCTGCTTCTCTGCCTGCTTGTGATCTCTGTCAAATAAATAAATAAAATTAAAAAAAAAAAAAAGTTCCTTGGAGACTTGTCTTTTTTTGTTCACCATTCTATCCTAGAGTAGCATCCTCTGAAACATAAATGATACTCAATAAATACTTCTGAATGATTATTGTTAAGTGAATGATTATCCTACACATAAATGATTCCAGACAGAAATTCTTCCTAGTTTTAGAACTAGTAGTCACCCTGATAAAATGGCTGAAGGTTAGCTACAGCAATGGTCCCAACTATGGTTTGATTTTGTCAGAATCACCCAAGAAGACTCATTATAGATTCAAGGGTCCCACACTGAACTAACTGAATTACAGCATCTAGAGAGAGGATTTAAAACCCTAAAATGGGGGCGCCTGGGTGGCTCAGTGGGTTAAAGCCTCTGCCTTCAGCTTGGGTCATGATCTCAGGGTCCTGGGATCGAGCCCCACATCGGGCTCTCTGCTCAGCAGGGAGCCTGCTCCCACCACCCCCCCTTTCTCTCTGCCTGCCTCTCTGCCTACTTGTGATCTCTCTCTGTCAAATAAATAAATAAAATCTTTAAAGAAAAAATAAAACTAAAAAAAATAAAACCCTAAAATGTTTAAAGTTGACCATGGCCCTTCACAGCCAGAATCTTAAAAGAGGGTCTAAGAAGCCATATTTACCAACTGATTCTCAGGTTTAGAACATTTGGGAATCACTGGCTACAAAGGATAGAAAGTACTACACAATGGGGTGCTTATATTGAAACGCTGAAACAGATATACTCTGGTATTTCTTCCAAGTTTTTACCAAAATAATATAATTCTCAATGTGATAAAGACATTTAACTTTGAATCATTTTTATTAAAACATTCTCTCCTGATTACAAAGTAATTTTTTTAGAAGACCAATCATTAACAGTAAAGTCCTCCATAATCCCAATCCCTTCCCAAAGATGTAAAGTGAGTTAAATTCCATGTATGCTTATGCAAATTTGTTCTAAGCAAAAGAATATATAAACATACCTACCATCTTATTTTTTTTAACAAAAAGGATATCATGCTACACATGATAGCATGTGTGACTGAGCCACCCAGGCGCCCCGAGTCAATGAGTATTTTAAATTCTGATACTTTGAACTGTTTCATCCCTGAATTATATTAGTTACAGGGTGTCTGGGTGGCTCAGTCAGGTAAGCATTTGCCCTTGGCTCAGGTCATGATCCTCGGGTCTTGGGATGGAGCCCCATGTCAGGCTCCCTGCTCAGTGGGGAGTCTGCTTCTCCTTCTCCCTCTGCTCTCCACCCCCTTTCACTTGTGCTCTTGCTCTCTCTCAAATACCTAAATAAAATCTTTCTAAAAAATTTGTTATATTTTCAGTACATGAGAGTTCTTGTTTATTTAGATTCTTGAAATACTGTTCATTATCAATCTTCTGAATAATGACTGATCTAACAGGTGAATATGATCTTTGTATTTATATATTCAGACTTAACCAAGCTTTCTCTTTATGGCTTTAGGATTTCATGCCATGCGTATAAAGAGCCACCCACCTACTACCAAAAAATTTTTCTTCTAATGCTTTTTTAAACAAACATTTAAATCTTTTATTCATTTTAAAATTAAAGGGTGATGGTCTGGCAAAAATTGCTGAGAAACACAGTAATTCCAAACCAATGGACAAATATTATCTTGAAGGAAAAAATCACTTTAAGTATAATTTAGGTAAGTTTCTAGCATTGTGTACTCAATTGAAATATTACACAATAAAACAGATGCTATATGCATCCTTTTAGATAACTCTGGCTATTGTAACAGTAAACAATTCACATATACAATTTTCCTACTTAAAAATGAAAGTACCAGGGACTCTCTACCAGAAGAATATATACCTACATGAACTACAAATTCTCACAGTGGAGATAAATAAAATAGTGAAAACTTACGATGCCAATTGATGTCCAAATAATTATTTTCATAAAGGAAAGATGCTCATATTCTGAGTTTACTTTTAAATCAAGAAAGACTTTTTTGTCATTCTACTGCCAATTCCAAATGAGGTACCATGGGAAAAAATGGGCTTAACATTTCCACAAGCCTTTGAACATACTGGATTTTCTTTGCAACATTTTAATTAATAGTACAAGTTCAGTACCTGAATTTCAATATCCAACTCATGAATAAAGAAACAGCAAATAGTAAAAGCTTCTACTATTAAGTAAAATGGTCAAGACTATTTAAACCAGAAAAAATATCCAGTAGATTACTTAGGATGCTGAAGGCAGATATTCAAGCCATGGGTCCTACAGTGAATGTTAATTTTGCATCCTGTGACTTGAATATGGCTTTGCTCATTTGACTAAAGTATCACAATCAAGCTATTCAGTTCAACTACACAGTCTGGTTCAACCATACAATTTAAAAAAAGAAAAACTACACCACTGAATTATAATGAATATTTATAAGACTACCAAAAGAGTGTGCATTTAATCATTATGAATAATTTTTAAAGATAGGATTTGCTCTTAAAACATTTTGTTCTTTAACAGAACACTGCTCATGTTTATGAGGCCTAAAAAATGCAAAACAGTTACCAGCTTCATGTGTAAATAATCTTTTATCCCCTCATGTGCACAAAAGCTATTTACACATGGGCTTCCACAAAACAAAAAAACTCATTTTCCTTTGAGGACTGAGGTTAATGTTTACATTTATATTTCAGGTTCTCACACTGAGGAAAAGTAGGGTATAAACTTAAGAATTAAACATGTTTCCTTTCAAAACAATTCTTCAGTAATAAAAATAACAAGCTGATTAATGAAGAAATCAAACATCTGATACACACACAAAATCACTCTATACCTCTTGTCAGCAAGATCTGTTTTATTTCCTACTAGCATGATGATAACATCACTTCCTCGTTCTGTTCTGACATCATCAATCCATTTTGTAGTTTGCTGGAATGAGTTAACATCTGGTATAGGAGGGTGGACAAAGAGATTAGTGTTACTGCAAAGCCTCCCCAAGTGATAAACCAAAACCAAAACCAACCAAACAAACAAAAAAACCCAAAAAGTTGGGGAGGGGGCGGCACATTAGGACCCACTTTTAATGTGCCTGCAATATAACTCCATTTTATCTGAGTACAACTGTCAGTGATATAAACAAATAAGAAGACTAAAGTCCTCAAAGCTCCTTTTATAGTAGTTTAAAAGTTTTGAACATGATCAATGAGTGTAACGTATCAGATGTAAGGGGGGGTGGGGGGGAAATTTTTAAAATGTTAAGGACAGCTATGGCAGATAATATGGTGTCACATTGCCACAATGGTTTTTTGATTACTTACACATACCCAGCATGACAAAGAAAGCATCTCCAAAAATAGGTCAGCCAATAAATCCCAACACATCCAGAAAATTTATGAAGCCTTTAAACAGCTTTCAACACCACTCTGTTTGCATTGCTTATTCAGTTTGTGATCACTTTAACTTGAGGTTCATTAGTTTAATGCATCAGAATCACTTGTAACAAAATCCGTTTTTCCTAGCACTAGATTCTAAGTAGAATACTTCAGTATTTTTTACAGCAGCTTCAGAGAACAGTTTACTAATATTTTAACCACATGTGCACAATTTTTAAAGAAAAATACATAAGGTCTCACTTGCTTTGGTTAAAGTAAGCACAAACATTTTAAAGCTGCAAAACTTGTCAATGCACAATAATGAACATACACTTTTTTAAACAAGTAGCAACCCAAAGTAAAGCTTCAAGAAAAGAAAGCTTGCATATAGCCCCTAATCCACCTCCAAAAAAGGTCTCTGAATGCAAACTTATAATTCTGCCATTGCAATTAAGTAGATATCACTTCTGGTTGAGCTAATATGAAAAAATGTACAGTAAGAATATCACTAGCTCAAACCAATAGTTTATGTAAGATTCTTTTTAAAATAAGTTTAAGATGTAACATTATTCTAGTTTTCCTACGAATTATGGACCACTATGTGGAATGATGGCTTAATATTGCCTAATATCTATAATAAACCAATTTACAAAGACAATTTTAATCAGAGAGCATTTCCCTGTCAGTCACCATATTCTGTGGAAAATTTATAGGCACTTAAAATGCCAAAGGCATTACTCAGTCTTCAGGGAAAAGAAAAAGGATCATTACTTGTTTTAATCTCCTATTTAAAATTTCTTGTTGGAGAGAAATTAAAGTGCAATTTGTTAGCAATAAAGTCAGTCACAGAATCCAGATATGATTCAAATGAAAATGATTACTAGAAAACTGCTCATTATTACGTTTTCTCTGCCTTCCTCTATAGAGAAGATGTCTGGAAGCGGAAAGCAGAGAAAAGCTGGCTAGCAGCAGCTTTTAATAGCCTCAATAGAAAGCCTTGGACTGAAAAATTTTGGCAAGAGGCTTAAATGCAAATTATTTTATTTTAGAGAAACCTGAGATAAAGTTAAATGAAAAAGGTGACATTCTTCCAACCATAATTATGGTGTGACTTAGGGATAAAAGGATACTAAGAGAGCCTGGGAGAAGATTCATAATCAGATCTAAAGGAAAATTTCCAGGCCAAAAAAATCTGGCACAATGGAAATAAAGAAAGTTGGTACAAACATCAAAGCAAATATTTCTGACCTAGCTGGTATATGATAAGGTTTACTATGACAAAACTCATTTTTACATGCTAGTATAGAAAACAAGCACAAGACAAGAACATGCATGCAGCTAGGCTAAAGGTTGAAAGATTAGAAACGCATTAATTCCCCCCCACTCACTTGTGATATCATAAACAACAACTGCCACAGTGGAGTCACGAATGTAGCTAGGAATCAAGCTCCTGAACCGCTCTTGACCTGCTGTGTCCCATAATTGCAATCGTACCTAACAACAAAATCAGTCAAACAAGCAAGAAAAATAAGAAAGGTCAACCCGTTGCAAAATACCTACTTGTGATATCGTAAACTACTACGGCTGCAGCAGAATCACGGATGTAACTGGGAATGAGGCTACGGAAACGTTCCTGACCCGCAGTATCCCACAGCTGCAGCCTGATCTGTGGGATGGGAAAAAATAAATAAAAAAAAAAAAAAAAACCAAACTCATACTAAAAAGAAAAAAGAAATAATGTTTTTAAAAGGGGGAAAGTGGGAAGAAGGTAAAAAGCAGACTCATGCAAAAGGTTGCAGGGATATGAGGAATGAAAATAACACAAAACTTTTTCAAAAGGGAGTAGTATTAAAAATTTGCTCGCTCTGAAGGTACGTGACTTAAATACGGCAATGTGAAAGATTTCACAGAATCAGAAATACAGCTTTTTAAAAACTCCCTATAATGTCTCTTTGAATCTTATGCCTTCCAGATAGCAAAAAGTAGACTGTTGATGTTCAAATAGTGAGCATAAAACGGAAAAACGAAGGTAAATGCCAATGAGCAGCCCTGGCTATCAGAGTAAAGGAATGAATGCCTCTCTGAAAGCCTCTCTGAAGCTAGAATGTGTCTCTTTTCTACTGGATCCAGAACACTTTGAAATTGGGTCTCTGACTACTGTGCTAATGTTTCTCCTATATATTTCTTCCCAGAACATTGTATATAACCTAAGAAAACAGACAAGTATCTTTTTGCAACTCTCTATAAAAATTTCTTTGCATTCTTACTTTATCATATCTACATTTAAGGAAGAAAAGCCTGAAAACAAGCATTCAGTTATTTTACCATTATAAATAATTTCTAAGCTTTGAAAATTTAAGAAATTACATGCTGTATATTAAACCATAAAAGAGAATATCCAAAAGAAAAACTTTCACACACTAATAGGAAATAGCATTAGAGATACAATAATGTTTTTTGGGCATAGTTCCCAAAATACTACATTTAAGATAGTCACTGTTTAGTTGATAGGAATCTCTTCCAGGGACAGTGGGCTAGAGTACAGAATTTATACTATGTGTAAAGGGAGCATTCCAAAAGAAAGGTATCTAAATCCAACAAATAAATACACATTACCTCTATCTATTCACTATCACTTCAGTATACATCACATTCTGACAAATAAAATTCTGAAATTCACAAATTATGTGAAATTCAAATGAAATACTTTTGAATGCCTCAAGAGTAGCACTCAAAAAGTCTTTAGCAGCTCTAATGTCTTTATGAAAATACACTTTTCATTATCGCAAAGCAGCTTGTTATCATTTTTCCAAATGGGAATGACAAATTTTATTTAGCAGGCCTAGGGCATTCAGTATTTTCCAAACAACTTGACTTTCTCTCCTCTTTGGATTTCACTTGGAGATTAGGTCAAAATGCTAAGTACTACCACTCTGTTAATAATAGTTTTTCTCAAAGCCTGTAAACTAACTTTCTCAACTTTGCTAAGAACTTATTATAGTGATAATCATCGATTATAGCTTTGATCATCGTTTTGTACCCTGGAGTGTTGCAGAAAATTGCACACTGAAAGCATTACTCACTGTTCGATCCTCCAAGTACATTGTTTTTGATAAAAAGTCAATACCAATTGTTGCCTGTAAAACAGAATAAAACAAAGAAGTTAAAAACTAAAATAAAAATTACAATAGTTTTGGGGCGCCTGGGTGGCTCAGGGGGTTAAAGCCTCTGCCTTCAGCTCGGGTCATGATCCCAGGGTTCTGGGATCGAGCCCTGCATCGCATGGGGCTCTCTGCTCAGCGAGGAGCCTCCTTCCCCACCTCCCCGGCTGCCTCTCTGCCTACTTGTGATCTCTGTCACATAAATAAATAAAATCTTAAAAAAAAAAATTATAATAGTTTAGGGGGCGCCTGGGTGGCTCAGTCAGTTAAGTGTCTGCCTTTGGTTCAAGTCACAATCCCATTGGATGGAGCCCTGTGTGGGACTCCCTGCTGAGTCTGTTTCTCCCTATACCCCTCCCCCCACTCATGTGTGCTCTCTCAAATAAATAAATAAAATTTTAAAAAATAATAATAGTTTAATGGCAGTTTAGGGTTCAAAGGGTAATTATTATTGTAGGAGAAATAATGAATAAAGACGTCATAGCCAAGTACAAATGAACAAAATTTTCAGTGATAATGGTTCCCATCAACTAAGCACATGTGCTGGAGAATCCTTTTAGGCCTTTTACACCATCATCACTAATCCTTATACATCTCTCCAAAGCAGCTACTGCCATCCCTATTTTTTATCATTCTAACAATACTGGGGTTCAGAGAAGTTAGAAAACTTGTCTAGGGGAACAAAGCTTCTGCTGTGGAGTTGGGAATAAAAGTCCAGCTCTTTCCAATATATAATGATTATTTTATATATATATTTGTTATTTATTATTATTTTATATTTTATATATTTATATACTTTATATTGTAGTTTATATATTATTTATTATATATATATATTGAAGTTGTGATAAAATAAACATAATGAAATTAACCATCTTAACCGTTTTTTTAAAATGCTATTTTTAAGATTTTGACAGAGACACACCAAGAGAGGGAACACAAGCAGAGGGAGTGGGAGAGGGAGAAGCAGGCTTCCCACCAAGCAGGGAGCCCGATGCAGGGCTTGATGCTGGACCCCAGGATCATAACCTGAGCTGAAGGCAGACACCCAACGACTGAGCCACCCAGGTGCCCCTAAAATGCTATTTTTTGAGAGTAGTTTTAGGTTCATAGCAAAACTAAAAAATGCAGAGAATTCCCATATACTCCTTTACCCCCACATATGCATGACACTCCCTATCATCAACATCCCCAGCCAAAGTGGTACATTTGTTACAGCTGATGAACCTATACTGACACTGATATATTTTTTAAGATAGATTTTATTTTTAAATTGTGGTAAAACATTTATCATAAAATATGATATTTTGGGGCACTGTGTGCCTCCGTTGGTTAGGTGGCTGACTTCAGCTCAGGTCAGGATCCCAGGGTCCTAGGATCGAGCCCCGCATTGGGCTCCCTGCTTTGTGGGGTCTCTGTTTCTCTCTCTCTCTACCCCTTTCCCCAGCTCATGTGCTCACTCTCTCTCTCTCAAATAAACTCTTTAAAAATAAAATGAAATGTAACCATGTTAAGTGTACAATTCAATGGCACTGATTATATCCACGATGATGTATAACTGTCAATACTATTTTTAAAGCTTTTTTATGACTTCAAAAACTGTACCCAATAAGCAATAACTTATCACAATGTATGGATATCTGACAATTTCTTTTTCCATTCATCTATTAATGGACATTTAGGTTGTGTCCACCTTTTGGCTGCTGTGAGTTCCTATATTCAGTTCCTCAGTATATACTGAACAGTGGAATTGCTAGGCCATACGATAATTCTAATTAAACTCTGTGAGAAAATGCCACACTGGCTTCCACAGCAGCTGCACCACTTTAAGTTTCCAAAAGCAATGCATGAAGGTTCCAATTTTTCCACATTCTTGCCAGAATTTGATGTTTTCTTTTTTTTGTAATACTCGTCTTTAGCAGGTAGGAAATGGAATCTCTTTGTGATTCTGATTTGCAGTTCTCTAATGACTAATAATGTTAAGCATCTTTTCATGTGCTAACTGGCCATTTGTACAACCTCTGTGAAGAACTATTCAAGTCCTATGCATTTTTAAACCGAGTTTGTCATTTTATTATTGATATGCAGTTCTTTATAGATCCTAGATATTAAACCCTTCTCCCGTATGTAATTTTCAAGTATTTCCTCCCACTCTGTAGGTTGAGCCTGGTGCTTTTATTGAAAATCACTTGTATGGCATCTGCGTGGCTCGGTCTGTTGAATGTCCGACTCTTGATTTAGGCTTGGGTCATAATCTCAGGGTCCTGGGATCTAGCCCCACATTGCACTTCACACTCAATGGGGAGTCTGCTTGAGTTTCTCTTTCTCCCTGTGTCCCTCCGTGCTTTGTGCACAAGCTCATGCTCACACAGTCTCTAAAATAAATAAGTCTTTTTTTTTTTAGATTTTATTTATTTATTTGACAGACAAAAATCACAAGTAGGCAGAGAGGCAGAGAGAGAGGAGGAAGCAGGCTCCCAGTGGAGCAGAGAGCCCGATGTGGGCCTTGATCCCAGGACCCTGGGATCATAACCTGAGCCGAATGCAGAGGCCTTAACCCACTGAGCCACCCAGGCACCCCTAAAATAAATGAATCTTTTAAAAATTTTTTAAAAGAAAATCAGTTGTCAATAGGTATGTGGATTTACTTATGAATTCCCAATTCTATTTTACTGGTCTATGTGTCTATCATTGTTCTGATTACTGTACCTTTGTAATAAATTCTGAAATCAGGAGTATGAGTCCTCCTACATTTTTTTTTTTTTTTAAGATTTTATTTATCTGTCAGAGAGAGAGCAAGCATGAGCAGGGGCGCAGGGGTGGGAGGAGCACGCTCACCGCTGAATAGGGAGCACAATGCATGGCTCGATTCCAGGACCCTGGGTTCATGACCTGAACCGAAGGCAGATACAAAACCGACTGAGCCACCCAAGAGCCCCACTTTTCTTTTTCAAGATTGCTTTGGCTTTTGGAATTTAGAATTGGCTATTTCTACACAAATGGCAGTAGAAATCTGATAGGGACTACATTAAACCCGTAGATTACTTTCAGTAGTTAGTATCAACATCTTAACAATATTAATTCTTCTAATCCCTTTGCCTAGGATGTCTCTCCATTTATATTAGGTCTTTAATTTTTTTTGAGTGTTTTGTAGATTTCAGTTATACACAGACTTTTATTAAGAAAGCAAGCAAGGGGGCGCCTGGGTGGCTCAGTGGGTTAAGCCTCTGCCTTCAGCTCGGGTCATGATCTCAGGGTCCTGGGATCGAGTCCCGCATCAGGCTCTCTGCTCTGCAGGGAGCCTGCTTCCTCCTCTCTCTCTCTCTCTCTGCCTGCCTCTCTGCCTACTTGTGATCTCTGTCTGTCAAGTAAATAAATAAAATCTTTTAAAAATAAAATAAAATAAAATAAAAAGAAAAAGAAAGCAAGCAAGGGGAGCGCCTGGGTGGCTCAGTGGGTTAAAGCCTCTGCCTCAGGTCATGATCCCAGGGTCCTGGGATCAAGCCCCCCCCCCCACCGTCCCCGTCCCCCGCCCCAATCCGATTCTCTGCTCAGCGGGGAGTCTGCTTCCTCATCTCTCTGCTGCCTCTCTACTTGTGATCTCTGTCTGTCAAATAAATAAAATATTAAGGAAAAAAAAAAAAAACAAGCAAGCAAGCAAGGGGTGCCTGAGTAGCTCAGATGGTTAAACATCTGCCTTTGGCTCAGGTCATGATTCCAAGGTCCTGGGATCAAGACCCACATTGGGTTCCCTGCTCAGTGGGGAGCCTGCTTCCCTCTCTTCCTCTACTGCTCCCCCACTGCTTGTGTTCTCTGTCAAATAAAAATCTAAAGAAAGAAAGAAAGAAACCAAGCAACCTAGCTTTCCCCTTTATCCTAAACTATGTGACTATGTATTTCAATTACATTTCTATATATAGGTCTTAAATACACATAACCTAGGTATGAATTCCATCTTACAACATCCAGTCTGAAAATGTATATGCCGTTCTGCTATAGGCTGGGATAATGGGTTCATAAACTTGAATTACTGTGCAAAAGCATCTAACTGACAAACCTGTGGAATGCACAGGAATAGTATAGGACTATATTTAACAAATCTCACCCATAGAACCTCATTTAATCAGTCAAGATGGCAGAGGCAGCTAATTTTCTACACAAATATCCATCGTTCCCTTTCTTACTAAAACAATCATTTATTTAAATCCATACTTTTCCCACTAAAAAGACTACATTTTCCAACCTTCTTTGAGCTTTAAATAAATGGGGTTGACTCAGTTGAGAGGTGCACTCTTGGTTTTTCTCCTTTCCTTTTTCTTGCCTGGATAGAAATGGTATCTCCTGTCCTGGGATACCATGGACAGAACTCCAAGAACCATTCAATAACATGAGGCAACCTCCATATGGAAGTCATGTATTAGATCTGGTTAAACAAAGTCAGAAGTTCCAATGACTGTGGAGCTGCCACAAAGGTCTGAACTACTCTACTTACAGACTTCTTTTATATGGGAAAAAACCATTCTCAAGTCACTTACTAATGTTATTTTGTGCTTGTTATAAACAGCCCAAAATAATTTTTAATAGCTACAAACAGAAATATGCCTTGTCAGATCTCACAGCTATCACATATAAATGTTCTCAAAATTAGTACAAAATAAGATTTTATGTATAATAATCCCCTCCCTTCCACTGCACTATCCTAGTTTTGGAACATAATTTATACACCAAACTCATAAAGATTAAAATTAACCTGAAGGGGCGCCTGGGTGGCTCAGTGGGTTAAAGCCTCTGCTTTTGGCTCAGGTCATTATCCCAGGGTCCTGGGATCTAGCCCCACATCAGGTTCTCTGCTCGGCAGCGATGCTCCCCACCCCCCAAACACCTGCCTGCCTCTCTGCCTACTTGTGATCTCTGTCAAATAAATAAATAAGATCTTTAAAAAATTAAAAAAAAAATTTTAAAATGTAAAAAAATAAAATTAATCTGAAAAACATAGCCTGTTTCTGCTCTTCTTTTCAGTTAATTTTATTCTAAGCAGAACTACTATGGCAAAAAAGTTAATCACCCGGGCGCCTGGGTGGCTCAGTGGGTTAAGCCGCTGCCTTCGGCTCAGGTCATGATCTCGGGGTCCTGGGATCGAGTCCCGCATCGGGCTCTCTGCTCATCAGGGAGCCTGCTTCCCTCTCTCTCTCTGCCTGCCTCTCTGTCTACTTGTGATCTCTGTCTGTCAAATAAATAAATAAAATCTTAAAAAAAAAAAAAAGAAAAAAGAAAAAAAAAGAAAAAGTTAATCACCCAAAAGAATTAAGCCAACAGCAGGAAAAACAGAAAGAATGGATGCAAAACTAAACATTGTCAGCTATTTCAGCATCTTGAATGTTACTGATGTGGAGCTAATTCGAATCTTCATAAAAGACGGATGACACATTAGTGCTGCCTCTTGCTGATCTTCTTTATAGAAATGCAGAAGACAATAATTGTATAAGAAACCAGAGGTTAGAGAAAATTCTCCCACATAATTTATAGCTTCACATTATTTTAAGTGTTGATTAATTCATTATTCACTGATTATTTGGGAATGTGCTGTTTAATTTCCACATTTTGTGAAAATCCCAAATCTCCTTCTGTTAATGATTTCGAATTACATCATTCATTTATTCTTGACTTTAAGTATAGATCAAAAGGTCACAGAATCCTAGGCTTGAACCACATTAAGAGAATATCTCCAATCACTCCTACTTCAATCCCAGATCGTAATCTGTGATTATCTTTCAATGTACTTTGGGAGAGGAAATAAAGAAATCAAGTGCAAAGATTGAGGCCTATGAGCAAAATCAGCTATACTTGGTATTTATACAGCATTTTACAGATTACAGAAAGTGCTTTTATACAAATAAGCAGATTTTTAAAAAGACCTTAAATAATACTTCTAACACAAAACAGAGACAACTACTAAATTAGCAAAAATAAAATACCTGATAGGTGTTGTCAAAACTGTCATACATGAATCTGGTGATCAAGGATGTCTTTCCAACTGAAATGAAAAGGAGAAAAGATTCACTCAGTTAAAATATTACACTGGGTTCTCAAGTGATTCTTCTACAGAGAACAATTAAAGTCACTGGGAAATATCTGCAATGGTTCTACTAATAATAATTTAGAAACATATAGACCCTAGCTTGTTGAAACGCTTTTCTTTAATAAGAGATAACAATCACTCAAATTAAGAGCACAGGTAAAGAGAGTTTTATTTAGTAAAAGAGCTGAGGAAAACAAAAAGATGGAGGGAAATAATCAATTATGTTGACATCTCTAATTCACAAAAGGCCAAGCAGATACTACTTGGGCCCTAACAAAAAAAACTAGGATTGGACTTGAGAAAAAGCCTCTTTACATAGCAACAGTTGAACTATGAATTTATTAGTAAATAGTACATATAGTTTTCGTTTTTGAAAGAAATGCTCACCATCGTTTTCACATGAAAGAGTAAAATGGGGGAGGGCCCTGGGTGGCTCAGTAGGTTAAAGCCTCTGCCTTTGGCTCGGGTCATGATCCCAGGGTCCTGAGATCGAGCCCCGCATCAGGCTCTCTGCTCGGCAGGAAGCCTGATTTGCGCACCCCGCCCCTCCCCGCCCCCCCCCGCCCCCCACCTGCCTCTCTGCCTACTTGTGATCTCTGTCAAATAAATAAATAAAATCTTTAAAAAAAAAAAAAAAGTAAAATGGGGGTGCCTGGGTAGCTCAGTGGGTTAAGCCTTCTCTGCCTTTGGCTCAGGTCATAATCTCAGAATCCTGGGATCAAGACCCACATTGGGCTCTCTGCTCAGCTGGAAGCCTGCTTCCCCCTCTCTCTCTGCCTGCCTCTCTGCCTACTTGTGATCTCTGTCAAATAAATAAAATCTTTAAAAAAAAATAAAAGAGTAAAATGTATATATTGCATTTTACTGGTGGTACAGAAAATGACAGGAAGTGAAAATTATGTATATCATACCACCCATATATAATTAATGTTGGTATATGTTTTCTGAAAATTTTTTATATAAAAATATGTACTTAAAAGTATTTAAAACTTAAAAGTAAAAACTCTAGAACCATTCACAGGAAAGCCAGGAAAAATATACATACTATTATTTTCTTTTCTTTTCTTTTTTGAAGATTTTATTTATCCATTTGACAGACAGAGATCACACGTAGGCAGAGAGGCAGGCAGAGAGAGAGGGGGGAGCAGACTCCCCACCAAGCAGAGAGCCCGATGCGGGGCTCGATCCCAGGACCCCGAGATCATGACCCGAGCCGAAGGCAGAGGCCCAACCCGCTGAGCCACCCAGGCGCCCCCTTACTACTATTTTCAACAACGACTGGATCTGTAAAAAGTAATGTAAAAATCTGAGGATACAAAAGGCAATATGCATTTCACAGTGGGGGAAATAGTGGTGGATAAAAAGCTATATAAAATACATAATAAAGAAATATAAAATAGCTTGTTAAAAGTTTTTATTCAAAGGATTAAAAATTATTAAGCATTTTACTTTAAAAGATCGTAATCTCTACACCCAATGTGGGGCTTAAACTAGAGTTGCATGCTCTACTGACTGAGCCAGCCAGCTACCCCTAAGCATTTTTAAATATGATTCAATATGGAGTCCTGGTAAATATACTGCTCTTGTTAACCTCAAACCCAATGTAAAATAGTATGCAAACTTATAATGATTTGCTATATGTTGTTCTTCCTAAAAGATTATAAGCTCCAGGGGCACCTGGGTGGCATAGTGTCTAACTCTTGGTTTCAGTTCAGGTCATGATCTCAGGGTCCTGGGATCGAGCCCAGAGTCAGGCTCCCTGCTCAGAAGGGAGTCTGCCTCTCCCTTTTCCCTCTGCCCCTACCCCTGCTCATCTCGCTCACTCTCTCACAAATAAACAAAATCTCTTAAGAACAAAATTAAAAATTTACATACATGTTTAAAGTAAAAATGATAACATAATTTACAACATAGAGAATGTAATATATGACAACTGTAACACAAAAGATAGGGACATAAATACAGTTACACCGTTGTAAGGTATCTATAGTTCATGTGAATAGTACAGTACAGTCTGTGAGAGGTTGATGATGCATATCACAAGCCCTAGCAAAATCACTAAAAATATATGCAAAAAGGAACAGACAACAAGTTAAGAGAGGAATCAAAATGGAACAGTAAAATAATTACAAAAATCAAATGAGACAAACCCAAATCCAGCCCTATCAATTTATATAATATATGAATAATAGATTTAAAAACTCCAATTAAGGGATGCCTGGGTGGCTAGGTTAAGCAACTGCCTTCAGCTTAGATCGTGATCCCACGGTCCTGAGACTGAGCCCCACATCTGACTTCTTGCTCAGAGGGGAGCCTGCTTCTCTCCTCCCTCTCCTGGTTATTCTGCCTGCTTGTGCTTCCCTCTCTGTATTAAAAAAAATTCTTAAAAAGAAAAAAAAATAAAAATTCCAATTAAAAGCCAAGATTTTCAGAATAAGAAAATAAGAAGATACGATAAAAAGACACAAATATTTGCTTTCTGAGAGAGACACACTTTAAATACAAAGAAACAAAAAAGTTTAAAACAGAAGGGCATAAAAATCTCCCAACAAAGAAAACTCTAATTAATCATTTAAGGGGGAGCATCTGGGTGGCTCACTGGGTTAAAGCCTCTGCCCCCAGCTCAGGTCATGATCCCAAGGTCCTGGGATCCAGCCCCCAATCGGGCTCTGTGCTCAGCAGGGAGTCTGCTTGCCCCCCTCTCCCTCTCTGCCTACCTCTCTGCCTACTTGTGATCTCTGTCAAATAAATAAAAAAAATATTTTTAAAAAATCATTTAAGGGAATAGGACTGATCTTACATAAACTATTTTTTTAAAAGAAGAGAACAAGAACACTTTCCAATCATGACATGGGATGAGCATAACCCTAACAACATTACAAAAAAAATCAAAATTATGGATCAGTAACTCTCATCAACACAAGACTCAAAATTCCTTAACGAAGTATTAGCAAATCAAATCCACATATAAAAGAGTATTTATTTATTTTAGAGAGAGACTGTGTGGATGAGTGGGGGTGGGGGGGAGAGACAGTCTTAAGAAAACTGTGCACAGCAGAGCCCACAGCGGAGCTTGATCTCACCACCCTGAGATCACAACCTGAGCCATAATCAAGAGTCGAGGCTTAACCAACTGCAGCACCCAGGTGCTCCCAAATCCATATGTGTATACAAAGATACCTCTTAAGTAGGGATTATCCCAGAAATAAAAGGTTAATAAATCATACAAAATCAATTAATGTAATCCAAATGTTAACAGAATAAAAAAGAAAATCCTAAAGTTCATCTCAATATACTCAGATGAAGTATGTGACAAAACTCACCAGATTCATAATGAAAACTCAAAGCAAACTAGCAAACCAGGAAAGGAGATGCCAACAATCAGATAAAGAGCATTTACAAAGAAATCTATAGTTAACATCATACATAACGCTAAACTCTAAATGGTTTCCTCCAAAGAATGGGGGAAGAAAGCAAGGATGTCTAATCCACCACTTCTATTCAGTGTGAGTACTGGTAGTCTTAGCCAATGCAATAATGGTAAGAAAAAGAAATAAAAGGCACATAAAATGATATTGTTTCTTTCGCTGATGACATGACTAGTCGTGCAAAAGAATCCTAAGACACATGGGATGTCTGGGCAGCTCAGTGGGTTAAAGCCTCTGCCTTCGGCTCAGTCATGATCTCAGGGTCCTGAGATCGAGCCCCGCATTGGGTTCTCTGCTCAGCGGGGAGCCTGCTTCCCCACTCTCTCTGCCTGCTTGCGATCTCTGTCTGTCAAATGAATAAATAAAATCTTAAAAAAAAAAAATCCTAAGACACTAATTTTAAAAATCTACTAAAACTAGGGGCAACTGGGTAGCTCAGCTGGTTAAGTGTCAAGACTCTTGACCTCAGCTCAGGTCTTAATCTCAGGGTTGCTGAGTTCAAGCCCTGCACCGGGCTCAACACTGGGGATGGAGATTACTTTAAAAAAAAAAAAAAAAAATCAACGACAACTAGTAAATTTGGCAAGGTCTCAGTACAGAAGTTTGATATACAAAAATCAATTGCATTTCTAATACTAGAAGCAAACAGAAAACCAGACATTTCAAACTACACTGTGGTAACAACAGAAAATATAAAACAACTGGGAATAAATTTAACAACATGTGTAAAAACTCTACCTTGAAAACAAAACACTATGTTAAGGGGATATCAAGAAAATCTAAATAAATATAATAGCATATACTAGTTTAAAAGTAATCAATACTGAGATATCAATTCTCTCCAGTTTACAATTTCAACATAATCTCAATCATAATCCCAACAGCCTCTGAAAAACAGCAAATGACAAGATGGTTCTGAAGTTCATATGAAAATGCAAAGGATCTAGAATAGTTAAAACAATCCTGAAAACAGTGAATAATTTTTAAGATTCTACCATATTCAATCTCAAAATTTACCATGAAACTTCAGTAATCCAAATAGTATGGTATTTGCTTAGAGACAGACAAACAGATCAGTCAAACAGAACAGGATCCAGAAATAAACAAACAAAAATTTCTAGGCTGTTAATAAACATCTCTATCCCTGTGAGACAAATACTTTTTCGCCTACCTTATCCCCCAAGAGGGCCTGAAAACTGACAATTTTAATTTTCTCACATTAGCACCTCAAGGACTTTTTTTTAAGATTTTATTTATTTATTTGACAGACAGAGATCACAAGTAGGCAGAGAGGCAGGCAGAGAGAGAGGAAGGGAAGCAGGCTCCCTGCTGAGCAGAGAGCCCAATGTGGGGCTCGATCCCAGGACCCTGGGATCATGACCTGCGCAGAAGGCAGAGGCTTAACCCACTGAGCCATCCAGGCGCCCCTCAAGGACATTCTAAGAAAATTAACTACAAATTAAAAAAAAATCTTAAACAGCTTTCCAATATGAAATTAACATTTTGTTTCCAAACATCTACACTATA